TCACTGCTTCCTCACAACGGGAAAACTTTACTTTACCGGTGTCGTTAATTGAAGGAATACTTACCTGAATCTAGCACTATTCCCGGACGACTGACTGCGAACGTCTGTTCGACGCCGAATACTCTATCTATAGTTCGTTGCAGCGGCGAACAATATCTAAGCTAATGATAAAAACACTGTTCTCGGCGAGCGCTTGGCCAAAGAGCCCTCCGGATCCCCCCCTCATTACCTGTGAGAGCCGTGATTTATTAGGAAATCGATAGCGTAAATATTTCTGCACCAGTAGGGCTTTTACAGCAACAGAAGGCATTTATCTTAAACAAAACTACCTACATTCTATCTTAAACTTTAATACATATCCTTTGGGCCTTATTCTAGTTTTATAAAAAATTCTTAGATATAATAAAGTTTTTATATTTTGTTGTTTTTTAAACACTTCACTCTCTCATTTCACTCTTAAATTATATTACAAGACACATTCATTCACACTCTCACACAATACAACACTACACTATTATACACTGGTTATCTCCGCCACGGCGCCGACTTTATTCAAGCGTCCGATGGCAGCCGCACGTCTTCATTCGCAGCGACGCTGCCCGCGAAACGCAGTCACCGCAGCCGGTTTCCGCCCTCCGTGAGCGACGACCACATTCACGCCACTTGCTCTCCCCCGCGTCGCAGAGCTCAGAGAGCTTGTGCGGGCAGTCCGCGAGCTCGTGAATGGCCGACGGCTGTAGCCCTTTCTTTCTGATTGAAAGCCCTGTGCATTGCCACTGTTCTCCGCTACGCTGTCTCGCGGATGCGCGTCGCGTCTCAGCTGGGCCCTTTGCGACGCCCGTCTCCGCCCGCTTCTTTAGTTCGCCGGAACTGTTGCGTACGCCTAGAGCCCTAAAACACATCGTGTTCGGGATGCGCGTCCGGTTGGAGGTTTGGAATCGTGGCGCGCACCGCTTGTTTTCTGCGACCGAAATGCGGAACGCAGAGGCTGGTGAAAGCAGCCCGAATGTCCTCGCATGCGTCAACCCAACAAGAAGCAACGCACGCGTTAAATAGGCGCGCTTAAGGGAAATGGTTAGGTCAGGATGATCGGAGAAGGGTTTTAACAGAGGGTTCGAAGTTGAGTTTGGCAGCGAAACTGAGCAGCGACATCCAGCGAAGACCACTGTCAAGTACAGCCCAAATATCAAAGCCGCGTAAGCTGCTGCGCGGAGCTGTGACCAGCTCGAAAGCCAAATTGTTCATCTCTGAGAAGGTTGAGGCGACGTATTTCCTGTTACAAGCGCGACAGAATCAGTCTCTCGAACGTCTTCCCTAGGATGGAGAGTAAACTAATGGGTCTATAACTGCTCGGGATTAATTTGTTTTTGCCAGGTTTTGGTAGTAGCGCAATGGTCGCATGAAAGCTGATTTTAACGTTACTGTAAAGTAGTTCAATGCTTCATCAATCTCAACTTCCGTATTTACTGGTTTTTGTTCAAGCTCAGATTCAACTGTGTTGCGAAACCTGCCCAGTTCGTGTCACGAGTAGTTCGGAATCTATCTTGGCGTTTTGCGACAAGAGACGCCACTACGTATGTTACTGGATTATGATCGGAATCCAGTGTGGCGATTGAGCGGGGAACCACACACTCAACGCCTTTCACAATCATAAAATCAATAACGCCCGGGTTCCTGTTTCGTACTTCCGGGAAATGCGAGGGGCTATTCGGTTCTCAGATCTCTACCCGCCTTGTCGCCACAAGATTGGCAATTTTGTTGCCGTTTCTGATTGCTCTGAGGCCGCGCGATGTTCTATGCTTGGCGTTAAAGTCACCCCAAAGGATAACTTTTGAATTTAATGCGAGAAGCGCATCAAGTCCAGCCGGATCTAAGGTTTGATCTGGGCAGTATACGAATACGACTGATAGTCGGCGGTTTCCAACCCAGACATACGCCTCGACCGCCTCTTGAGACGCCAGAGCAATAGCAGGGATTTCTGCTTCAAGCTGCGGCAGTTCCCGGCGCAGCGTGATAGCTACTCCGCCACCTGGCCTGCCAGCGTGGTTTGGCGATAAACAGCGAATCCCCGGAGTTTGAATTCGCGTTCATCACTAAGCCACGTTTCTTGCAAAGCCAAGATATCTAATTGCATTTCTGTCGCAAATTGTTCTATTTGCTGGGCGTTAATAATTGCACTTAGCGCGTTCTAAGTGCATGCGCGATGTGCTGTTCGCTTGCCTACGTTGCTATTAATTCAAGATATTATCGGGCAGCATACTGAGAATTCCCTCGAACATCGCTAAGAACTGGCTCTTAGTCACTGTTTGAGCGGCAGCTGCGGGTGCATTGGGCCGCGCTCCGGCCGCCCCGGAGGGCGGTGCGTTGGCCTGTGAGGGGCGCGCTGCGCCGAGGCGCTGCGCGACCTCGTTCCAGGCCGGCCCGCCGCTAGCTGCCGACCGAGGCACCGCGTTTCTAACAGAAACTGTTTGGCTTGTGGACCTCTCGGTCTCCTCTATTGCAGGCGCGTTTGAAGAACACGTGGGTAGCATGCAATGGCTGCATCCTGTGAAGGAAGCAGCGTGATTTTGCTTGCAGCAAACAGGCCTTTGATTGAATTTGCCTCGCTTTGGGCAATGCGCCGTTTCGTGATTTTCGTCCCCTATATTTGCCCCCGCCCTTCATTATAGGGGTGGAACGACGTCTACCCCTCCTCCGGCTGAGTTTCGTTTCATGCGCTATCTAGCGGTGAACACACAACACACACACTCTGTCTCTCTCCCTCCCTCTCTCTCTCTCTAATATTTTCTCCAATTATTTTTGTGATATGGTTATATTGTTTTCACTGGCAACTATGAGAAGGGCATTTAAAACAGATACATTACGGTTCCATTAAGTTCAACCGTCACTTCACAAAATTACCTGGAGAAAATTGAACTTTGCATCTGGAATTAGTCATTTCATATCTGCCAATCTCCTTACCCAAAGGTTTTCCTTTGGTCTTATCCCAAAGGAAGTTAAATCCATCTCTGTTCTTTACATCAAAAACGGTCATGTCAAAGGCACTGTTAATTCAAATTTATAATATAGTGCTGTTGCTTTTAATCATGGACCCCAACAGTACAGATGTAAGTGTACATTAACTTGCCCTTTTCTTTGTCATTTGATGTATCTTTTCTTGCTTCTTCATTCCTTTCTTGGGGATTTATGTAGTCCTCATCTTTAACATTTCTTGTTTTCAATCCAATGCAAACATCGCACCAATGTTTTTGGATTGATACAAACCAATATTTATTTCGTTAATAACATCATAGAATGTGTCTTTCAAGAGACAACATTATAGTTGCTAGAACATTTTGTATAAAGTCTAAAAATGTATTAGTGTCCTACCTACAATAGTACGATTCCATTTTTCATAAATTCATTATTAGTTTTTCTTTTTACTCTCTTTACTCTTCACTGTTACTGTAAACAGCTCATTGTTAATTTTTTTTTTTTTTTACCATTTGAAAGCATACCATTCATTATATTCAAAGTGTTCAAGAACATTAATTTGCACACATGAACGCCCTCTCCACCATATTTCTTCTTCTACTGGAAAAATAAAGTTTTCTTTTTGAAAAATCTTCCTTTTTAGGGCATCTTTTGTTACTATCAAATCATTAATGTGTACTTTATTTTCTTTCTTCCCTTATAACCTATCCTACCATGCGCAAAATTATTTTTTGCACTGTTTTATCACCATGAAAAAAAAAAAAAATACTTTGAACAAGGTATCATTTAATTCAACTCACCTACTGAGTACACAAGGTTTACAAATAATCACATACAACAGATTGCAAGTTTGAAACTGCATTAATTGTTAAAACCAAGCAATTAAATAACATTTCTATTAAGTTTGTAAAATTCTCAGTCAGAAAATGCTTGTTCTGATAACTCACTAGTCTGACGTGTGTAGTTTTAGCTTTTTAAGTTCAATTTATCCAACTTATTATCCCTTAGTAAGATGAGAGTATTTATTTCTTAATATTTTGTATGAATATAGATATTACACGTCATAAGTCAGACATCACAATTTTTATAACTTCTAATTCTTCCTTGTTCTCTTGAGAGATTATAGAATATTATATTGTTTGTGCCTTTATTTGTGAGAATAAACTTGCGAGTTTTTAACACGTGCTAGGCAATTGTTCAGTGATTCTGAATGTATTTAAATATGATTTTTCACAGAAATAGGACTTACGACATTGTGGCCAGAAAGCCCAAGTTCATGGACAATAATGATGTAGGTTCAAAATCTGCATAAGGTATGAATGTTTTAATTTACCTTTGTTTATTGGGGATGGCATTCTGCATCTCTCGTCTATTACACTTAATCCTCCAGTTATCTTCAGGCTTGACAGGCAAGTATGTGTAATTGGGAAACTTGGTCCCTACACAGTGTACAACGGAACAAACACTGAGATGACAAAGGGTTGCACAGAGAAATATATAGGACAGGCATATGGCTGAGATAGGCCTATATAATGGTCAAAGAGCATCAAGGTGTTCTTCGCAGGGAAATGTAAGGGGGAGGAGTGATAGGTGCCCACAAATGCATTAAATAATATGAAAAAGTTATTTTATAAAATGCACTTCTTAATGTAAGTGTTGACAAAGGGAATAATACTAAAAAACAAAAATTGTGCGAATTTTTAAACATGAGAAGTTTTAATCAAAATCATGTCTACTGCATTATGCTCTATTCATACCTATGAGTTAAAAGAAAAATTTGGAGCCATGGTAAAGAAGATTTTAAAGCAATATTTACTCATCTTTCTCATAATTAGACTAAAAACTACCCAAATCTACTTTTTTTTTAAAATGACATCAATAAAGATCCAATTTTAAATATTTTTTATTAGGAAAACATTTCTATTGTTCATGATTGTAGAGAAGGTTACAAAACATTTACATTTCTGCAATTTTTGAAAATTAAAAGATTTTAATGAAAATTGGTTTTGCACTGTTTTAATCTTCAGGAAATTTTGAAAATGTCAAAGGTTAAAAAAAATTTTTTTGTCTGGTTAACAGGGTAAGATGGGAAGGTTCAGACCATAAAAAGATACTTTCTATAAGTTAAACAATATTTATTAATTTCTTGGCATGACCAGAAATGTTTGTAATAACAGCTGAAATTAATATAATTCAGTTCCACCATCTCCAGATGGTTTTGGGCATTTCACATCTAGCTGCTTGCCTCTTGATACTCCTCCAAAACTAGTGAGCATGAGGGTTAAGCAAATAGTGAAAATATAACAGCTAATATCATCAATAACCAGGGAAAAAGGCACAACTGTTCATTGTGCTGGACAGTTACCAAAGTAAATTAAACATTTTAGGCAAAATTTACACATGTGATCTATCATAGCCAAATTGTAAGACAGAGGGGACAAGAAAATGTTCACTCTTTCCAAGCACCATGGCAATTGCTGCTTAAATTATCATCATGGGCAGTTAAGTCCGTAATTGTGAGTAGGCCTTGGGGGACAACACAACAGATATTAAGCCATCTTGTTCACAACAGCTAGATGAAGGGTGGCCAACTGGCTGGTCCACTTATCCAGAGCATTGTAACGGGCTGCACATAATGACTGCTTGTCCAACTCCAGAACTTGATTTACCTGGTCAATGCGACCACGAATTGTGCTACACATACCCGAAAGAAGATGTAAGTTAGAAACATTCAGAGAATTACAATTAATTCTAGTAAAAAAAAAAAAAACTTTGCATTAAAAACTTATTTGGGGTGAAGTATGTCAGACAAATTGTTATCTTTCATAATAAACAACCCTTTATTTTGCATCCTGTCAAATGAAAAATCAATCATTCTTTCTTTTTGGGAAATATCCTGTCCTCCTTATTCGTAGTTCTTGCCGACTTAATAAATTCTAAACTTGTTTTAAAGGTTCTGACAAAAATTTATCAACAAAATTGAAGGGCTCAACTAAATGAAATACTACCAAATAAAAAAATTCATCGAACAATGTACGCGACAGATTGAATTAGTGAATTTTTCAAATAATGCTTACTTTTCTAAATATAAAATACAATTATTTTCTCTACATTATAGAAAAAGAAAAGAAAAGAAAAGAAAAAAAAAAAAAAAAAAAAAAAAAAAAAAAAAAAAAAAAAAAAAAAAAAAAAGAAAGAAAAAAAAAAAAAGAATTTAAATATCTTAAATAAAAATAACATTCAAGGTACTCTCACCTGTCTAAAATACACGATACCAACAAGCTCTCAACTTCACATGCATCGATGTTAAGCTCCTTAGAGATGAAAGGAATATGAATACGTGTATAAGGCTTTATCAACTTGATAAGAACTTGTGTTCGAATGTTACGCAGCAAATCTAAGCAACCATTTACAAAATATCAATTATTTTGGTTCCTCATAAACTCTGAAAAGAAATGTAAAACAACAATATGCACAACATCCTTTCCCAAAAGTCAGGGAATTTACCTTCAATATGCTCTCGAATAAATGGATCATCCATTATATTCCGCCTGTTCTGTTTCAAAATAGTTTCAAATTCGTTGATATCATTATTCTGATAAGATGAAACAAGGTTAGTCATAGCAAGAATTTCAGGGTCATTTTTATAAGGTTTTGCCTCTTGTGAATCAAATGGATTTATTCCCGATTTCATTAACCTGAAAAATTGCATTCACAATCATTTACAAACACTGCATTTACACACGCATTCACTCACTAACTTCTCCAGTTGTTAAGTTTCAAAAACAAAAATATAAAATATTGAGAAAATAATTGTAAGCAATAATAGAAAAATATGATTTAGTCTGTTTAACAATAACCAATACATACAAAAATTCAAAATATAATATAGCCAAGTCTATTACATAATTGCTGCATTACAACATAGAGGCTAAAATTTCTATAGACAAAATTGGTAATTTCCAGCACAAAAATATAGAGCACATTCATCTCAGATCAAAGATTACTCATATTTCATTCCCTACAATAATCAAAACAGTGTACATACATGTTTGCCAGAACCAAATATTTGAGGCATGTAGTTCGTCGTGGACTTCCAGATTCATCATAATTTTTAAAAGCTTCAAAGAAATCAGTATGGGCTTTTTCGAATTCTCCTTCCCGCAAATGCATTTTGCCTCCACATTCTTAAAAAGAAAATATATTGTATTATAATTTTATTTGTGCAATCTACACAATTTATCTCTAAATTCAAGCATTCTTGTGTTATCTCAGAGTTTATCATCCAGAGGTTTCACTTAATAAGCAACGGGTCAAATGCTGGTAAATCATAGAGTCAACGAGTGTTCTTAACCCTTTGCACTCCCAATTCTTTGGGTCTTGATTTTTTGTCATCTCTCTTTATTTAAATCTTTCTGTTGCACAAGATGCCATGATTGGAATGCATGATGGTTTCAAGTTTGGCAGTCAAGAAGAAAGACACACTGGTTAACATACAATGAAAACATTCATTGTATTCATAGCAAAACATTCGTGAATGACTAATTTAGCTTTAAATGTACGACTCTTTGCAGATGACTGCGTAATCTATAGGATTATCAACTCTGAGAAAGACTAGGATATTTTGCAGCGAGACTTAGACAAATTACATATCTGGGCAGAAACAAACGGCAT